AATACCAGGAGGAGCTCCTGGCTCCTGGCTTCAGATCAGTGTGGTGCTCCGGCTGCAGTGCACCAGCCGCGGCGGCCATTGGAGGGTGAACCAACAGCAAAAGGAAGACCTTTCTCTCTGTCTCTCTTTCTCTCTCTCTCTCTCACTGTCCACTCTGCCTGTCAGAAAAAAAAAAAAAAAAAAAAAAAAGGTAGGTTTAGGGAAGGGCATTCAGCTTAGCAGTTAAGAATGTGTGGGTGCAATCTGTTGAAATCTTTACTTAGTGTATACTAAGTTAATCTTCTGTACATAAAGGTAGCTAAAAATGAATCTTAATGAGGGGTGGGATGGGAGAAGGAGTGGGAGATGGAGTGGTTGCAGGTGGGAGGGAAGTTATAGGGGGAAAAACCTCTATAATCCAAAAGTTGTACTTTGGAAATTTATGTTTATTAAATAAAAGTTTTCTAAAAACATAAAAAAAAAAAAAGCAGCAGCCAGTTAAGACCCCTGCATCTCATGTAAGAGTGCCTGGGTTGAAATGTTACTGCACTCCTGACTCCAGCTGCTTCAAGTGGATCCTGGAAGGTAGTGTTGGCTCAAGTGATTGGGTGTCTGTCACCCAGGAAGGAGACCTTGGTTTAGTTCCCAGCTCCCAGTTCTGGCCCAGCTCAATCCTGGCCACTGGGAGTATTTGGGGAAAGAACCAATGCGTGGAAACTCCCTCTCTTTTCTCTTTGTCTACTTCTGTTTCTCTGCCTCTAACAAATAGTTTGTTTTGGTACCAACAAATATTGAAGGTGCACACGAGGAGATAACCTGAATAGATTTATATTAGTAAAAAATTGAACTTATCAGTAAAAATCTTCTTCCAACAGAGAAAATGCCAACTGTTCCTATGAAACATTTAAGCAAAAATAATGCCAGTTCTACCTAAACACTTCCAGAAAACTAATGATGCAATCAAATATGAAGAAAATTTTAAAACTACAGAAAATGTACTAGCACTAATAAGTTAATTTAGCAAGATTTCAGACTACAAAGTCAATTCACAGAAACCACTTGTATTTCTACATACTAGCAATGAATAACTGGAAGTTCAGGTTACAGAACCTTCACAGAAAGAATGTGGATCCCATAGGCAGGGCCAGGATGAGGTTGAGCTCCAAGAAGCACCTATCATGGCTTCAAAGTACATGGGAGCACCAAAATCTAGTAAAAGTTATTAGCTTATATCCTTTATTCTACTTCAAATATGTTAAATTATATTATATTGTTATATTTTAAAGTATTTAAATTACTTTAGGGTGTCCCAAAACTTTTCCTATATAAGGTCCTATGAGTAGAGTGTCTAGGTTTAAGGAAGATGTTTGTTCTTTTCACAGAAATGGCTAAACCATTTTCCATAATGGTTGTACCATTTCATGTTGCCACTGGCAATGTGTGAGTTTCATTGTTCTCTATCTTTCTCAAAACGTAAGATGCTCATTCTTTTTAATTGTAGGGATCCTACTTGGTGTGTGGTGATATCTCATTGTGATGTGAGTTTGCAGTTACCTGATGACTAATAGTGATTCTCTTTTCGTGTGTTTATTTTCTACTGCTATCTCTTTTCTGTTGAAGTTTGTTCAGACATTTGTCATGTTTGAGAGGAGGATTCATGTTGCTGAGTTCTGGAGTTGTTTATAGATTCTGGATGCAAATGCTCTGTCAGTTATGTGAGTTACTCATTTTCTTCCAGTCTGTGGCTTGCCTTTTTATCCTACTCAGAGTCTTTCACAGAACTGTAATTTTCAGTATTAATGAAAACTGATGCATAATTTTTATTCTGTGTATCACACTTTCAATATTATGTTGAAGAAATATTTGCCTAATTCAAAGTTGTAACACTTTCTAAACTTCCTCAAAACTATTTTGAGAACTGCTAAGAAATAATAATAACACAAAAATTTAAATTTTCCTTTGGCTATCTAATTGGTCCAGAATAATTTGCTAAAATGATGATCCTTTCTCCACTAAACTTCTTTGAACCTTTGTCAAAAATTTATTCACCATGTATGCACAGGTCAGTTTCTGTCCCTACTCTGTTTCAAACCTATTTATCTTAACTATTCTGATAATATTACACTATCAATTTTGAAATTTTGTAAATTTTGAAATCAGCTAGTGAAAGTCTTCCAATTTTGTCATTTTTTTAGAATTGTCTTAACTACTCTAGTTTTTCTGCATTTCTATTTTAATTTTAAAATCACCTTATCAATTTCTAAAAAAAAAGAAAAAGAAAGCAAGAATGCTGGAATTTTTACCAGAATTTGCTGAAACTAGAGATCAGATTGGAAAACATTGACATGTAAATAACATGGAGTCTTCTGATCAATGAACATGATGCATCTTTTCTTTATTTTTTCTCCATATTGTTTTGTAATTCTAAGTCTATAGGTCTTTCAGCCACAGGCTTATTGGTAACAGCTTTTCCACTATATATACAGGGTCATCAAAGAAACGACACAGTCTCTCTTTAATTTTGATAGTCTACTCAACATGGAGTGTGTGTGTGTGTGTTAATTTTGAGACATTAAAATTTTGCTTTATACTCTATTTCATATTAAATTTGTAAATCACATGCCTGCCTAAGTATTCCATGTCTTTTATGATCAAGTTGTATAATTTGAATTTGTCATTGGATGTTTCTCTCATGTGGGCTTCTCAATGTAGACTAGCTTTTCTCTCCAAGATGAGCTTGTCTCCATGGGAGGCACAAGCCTTCCCTTTCTTTCTAGGATAACACAGAACAAGTTTTGTAGGACAGACAAGATCCTGGAAGGGGTGCAGCACAGTAGACACACCTACCTGAGTGAGACTAAGATCTACCACCTCCTTGCTTGTGATTTGGGGAAAGATCAAAACCTCGGGTTTTTAATTGGGAAAATGGGAGAATTGCTTACATTACAAGGTTTTGTTAGGATGAAAGAGATGAGTGAAAATGCATAATAAGTGAGTGCTGCACCCACCAAACATGAGTCCTGTTTCCTGTTTCTTCTTCATATATCAACTGTAAAAGTCAGGATCCTTGGGGCTGGTGTTGTGACATAGTAAGTTAAGCCATCACTTGAAATGCTGGCAGCCCATATGGGAGTGCCAGTTCAATTCCCAGCTCCCAGCTCCCTGCTAATGCAGAGAGGAAGGCAGCAGATGATGGCCTGAGTATCTGGGCCCCTGCCACCAATGTGGGAGACCCAGAAGAAGTTCTTGGCTTCTGGCTTCTGCTTGGTTCAGCTCTGGCCTTGTGTCCATTTAGGGAGTGAACCCGTGGATGGAAGATCTCTCTCTCTCTCTCTCTCTCTCTCCCTCCCTCCCTCTTTCTGTCGCTCTGCCTTTCAGATCAATAAAATAATGTTAAGGGAAAAGCCAGAGTTCTCCGGAGAAATAGAACCAATCAGATGTGTATTTATTGACAGATTTATTTTAAGGAACCAGGTCATACAATTATGGAAGCAAACAAGTCTGAAATCTGGAGGACGAGCAATAGGCTGGAGACCCTGGAAGGAGCTGGCGTTGTAGTCTTGAGTCTGAAAGCCTCTGGGGCAGAGTTCCTTGTCTGTTGGGAGCTGCCAGTCATTTTTTAAAGGTCTTCACTGATTGGTTGAGACCCACCCACATGATGAAGGGTCTTCTACTTTACTCAAAGTCTGCTGACTGAAGTGTCAGTCACTGTTAAAAAGCAGAAGGAAACACCTAGCACAACCTTCCTTGCTCTTCTCTGAAGGGGAAGTGGTGTAGGCAGGTAGGTAGCTAGCGAAGAGAAGCTGAGAATCGCCAATATCTGCAGTGCGGCCCCATATGTGCTGTAGCCCTCTGTGCGCCACCACCCTCCACCCCATTCTGTCCAGATTGCAGCTGCCAGGTTTTGGCACTTAAGAACCTGGCGTAAGCTAACACATCCAGTCCAGCTGTCAGCTGCATCCCCACAGAGACCTTTACTGCATTATGTTGTCATTATCATAAAGTGACCCTGACCGACATTCCCACTCCCATCAGGCACCTGACGCCATGACACTTCCAAGATAGGGGAACTCAACTCCCACCCCAAGCTCTGCCTCTTTTGAATATTCGAGGGAGCCCTGCTCCAGACACCACTCACAGGATATGAAAGGATAGCCTGAAGCTGTTAATTGCGGCTCTTGCTCTTGCTCTGGAGTACACTTGCCTGTACTCTGTCCTTGAGCGTGTAGTTTTTGTTTAAACAAATCTTCCTTTTCTGCTCACCTTTATCTGTCTCTTCTTTGAATCCTTTTTTGTGCCAAGATAAGAACTTGGACCAAGTCTACCTAGAGGAACCCCAACAACCTGACATCTAAGCTGGTATTTGGCCAGACAACTGGACATCATAGCTTACCCAAACTGAAATATCAAATTGACCATCACACTAACCCTTTGAGTATTTGAAGAAGAGACCTTTGATGGCTGGTGACGTTCTTTCTTAAGACTAAATATCTTCAGAATCTCCTTTCCATTCCATGGCCTAGTGGATTCTTTTTCTTTCAGTCTTCAGCTCTCTTATGTCTTTATTTCCAGTGACGTAGATGATTTTCCACTGCTATATTAGATCCAAACTCTTATTGTTACGGATTTCATTTCCTTTACATATTGAAGAGGCCTAATCCTTAGAGTTCCACTGACTGCACAGTTAAAGAACTTGAGTTTGCAGTGAAGTGCCATAGCTTTTTAAAATGCACAGCTCCTTCTTTGCATTAGGGCTGGGCAGTTTTATGAGGCCTTGGAAAACCCAGGATGAGCCCTTGAACTTCAGCTGTGGGTCGTAGTCCATACGCCAGACTGCATCAGACAAAAGTATTTTAATTCCTTTGCAGATAAGGTTTAGTTGTAGATTATGAGGCTGTGCCTGGGCTTGGAAATTCAATGTCTAAGATGAGGCAAACAAGTTGCAATTTCAGTGCTTTTTATACCTGTGATGGCCTCAGGGCCTTCTGACTTATTTATTTATTTATTTATTTTTAATACAGTGCAAGGCCATAAACTCTTCCTGCTGGCAAGCGGAGAAGCCAGGCACGTTTTGAGAGGTGCAGCAAGCTGCAGCAGAGAGCAGGTACTGGGAAGCCAAGTAAGCCCTGTAATTAAAACCATGCCCAGCAAATGCTCCTGATTCCAGAGGTCACATCTGACTTCAGCTAAAGCATTCTTTTTTGGTCCTCTCTTAACCCGGTCTTGACTTTTGAGCATTCTCATCATTACCAGGGAGGAGGGAGGGAGGAATAGGGCTGGGGGTAGACAGAAGAATGTGATCTGAGTTGGGTTTGAATTATAATTTAATTCCAACTGGACATTTGCAATACTATGTGAGAGAATGGTTATACCACTAATGCTTTCTTTAGCATTCTTTTTTTTTTTTTTTGAGCACTTTTAAAAAGGTAAGGATAACAAATGAGCTATTGAATTTCAGTACTCCTTATTATTCCAATCTCATGCCCAACTCCCAACATTTTCTAATGATAAATACAGTTTTGCTATTATTCACTTTAGCCAGCACTCTTCCAAGCATGAGCAGATATTTTCTTCTTAGCTTTGTGGGGATCACCTGTTGAAATTTTACTTGAACAGTATCTGGAAGCTTGACTATACTTTGCATCCTGAACAGCTTGTGTGAAGAATGAGGACTTCATTGTTCAAAATGGGGAGCTCTAAGCTAAAATGTCCTTACAGGCTGTGGACTCTCTTTTGGAGATCTGGGAGGGATCATGGTGAAGTATCCAATTTGATCAGGAAGAGAAGGTTAATTAAAACTGATGATAGTGGAACACAGCCATGCTTTCCTAACAAGAAGAATACTCTGAGAAACATGTCACTGGTGATTTTGTCCTTATGCAAACACATAAAGTACACTTATATAAATCTAACAGATCTAGCCATTGCGCCTAAACTGGCAACCTGTACAGCTTGTAACAGTACTGAGTTCAGCAGGCAGTTGTAGCACAGCGGTATTTGTGTAGCTCAACAAATCTAAACAGGTTTATTTATACCAGAATCACCACAAACATATGAGTAATACAATACACGATAGTGTTACAACTGCTAGATCATTAGGCAATAGAAACTTTTCTGTTCCATTAAAATCTTATGGGATCACCATCGTAAACGCAGCCAGTGACCAAAATGATGGGAATGTCATTGTGTAATACATGATTGTATGTCAGTAGTTTGTTTTCTCTGTAGCACCTAGTGTTTTCTAAGGTCTAGGTGTGGATTTCTGCAACTACATTTTAGGATAGTGAGCCTGCATTGTCCTTCACACTTTCATATATATTTATCAGTAGGAAGAAGAATGAAACCTGAGTGTCCCCCTTTAGTTAGACAGCACATCTTTATTGAGCATCTGTGGGGTGCCAGTGGGTTGGTGTACCAAACAGCACAAAGAAGAGGACACCTTTCCTCTTCCTGCCTCAAGTTTCTCATCTGGAAAATGAGGCCCAACCAGTGTGGGACCAGTAAACTGGTTCTCCAAGAGACGGCGAGGGGGAGAAAGAAGCCTTGACGGGGGCATTTGCTTATTTATGGGATATCAGTCATCCCGCATGTTCCATTTCAAAGGATAACAAGGTGAAATCGAGAGGAGCCATGCACAGTCCCCCCCACACCAGCATGGACTATCTCTGCCACACTACAATACCATGCCTAACCCACATGCTGCCTTCTCAAAGGCGTCAGCAAGCCTCTTTTACTCTCTTTCCTCTTTCCCAGGCAGACATCCTAATTCCTGAGAAATCTGGGAACCTCAAGTCTTTTGGTGGAACAAATGAATGTTGAATAGGATCTGAGTACATTGGATTTTGAGTATTAGTTGCAAGCTATAAATGAAAACCCCACAAATCCCTCAGTGGGCCTCCCGTAAAAAGAATGGCTATTCCTCTTTTCCTGATGGGTTCATCTACTTCCAAAAAAATGGCAGTTCTATAATCATCTTCTCTTCCTGGCCTACATGGCCTGTGGCTTTAAGGCTTGCCTTGTGGTTTCTTTAACTTAAAACCTTAAACCAAGCTCTTGAAAGAAGCTACGCAGAAAGTAATGATCCTCAAAAATGAATGCATTGTAACAGCAAAGAAGAAATTTAATTAGCTACCATAATAGCATCATTTAGACTTCTTTTTTCTTTTCTTCCTTATAAAAATCAGTGCAATGACTAGAAATTCTGGGTCTTGCTGTCTTAGTCCCTTGAACCCTGTAACTGGGACAGTGTGTGTTTGCTGTGTGTGTGTATGTGTGTATACACACCAAAAATAGGCTCATCTGATTTTTAAAGACAGTAATAATTTCTGAAAATGACCTCTTCAACAGAGAGGAGAGAGTAGTCAAAACACTGTAAAATAGGCTAGCAAGAAGTTTGGGCCTCCCTAACCATCTGGAATGCCTACCGCCAACATCTTAGTACCTTAGAGTCTCAGCTTCCCCATTGTGATAACAGAACTTCCATACCCCAAGGAGGGCTGTGGTGAGGGAGGAGACAGGGGTGAATCTGACAGTGATGACTCCAGAATTTCTGCATTGGAGAGATTTAAGTGAAAGTGGATATAAGGAGGTATGACCAAAGCTGTGTCTTTTGATTGGCACTTGTGTACTTTAGGAAGGTTGGCAGGGGGGCTACTGGACATGAACGGAAATGACCTGTGTCCCCACCATTCCCAGGGAATGTCATTTTGTTTGGAGACTCTCTCCTCCCACACACCCCCAAAAGTCTGCTCTGTGGTGATTTCGTTTCTCTTCGAGCTGCCCTTTCCTGTCTTGGTGTCAATACACTGTGTTGCTGATGTTTATGAGTACATAGTAATATCAGCAGCTGTGACCTTGAGTAAGCTGCCTAACCTAATTGAGACTCAGACTCCTCATCTATAAATGGGCTAACAATATAATCCTGATACCAGTGGTTGTTTGGGGTATTAAATGAATGACAGGGGATTTTCACCATAGAAGCAGACTCATACCCTTTTCATTGAGAAATAGAAAGAAAAACTGTAGGTAAAAATTCAGAGCAGGAGACAGAAATCAGCAGGACCCTAAAGATGCTGTAAGAAAGTAGTTTGCATGAGCAGACTCATAAGAAAGCAGATGTTGGCTGGTATGTGGGAAGAGGGACCCATTTCTCAGAGTGACTGCAGGCTTGATGAGTTCAGTCTCCTAGCTCTAAAGGCAGATTGTCACAGCTGCCAGCTCTGTATTGCAGGTAGTCAATTCACCCAAGGCTACTCCCCTCCATGGGGCTCCCCAAGAGTGACTGATGAGGGATAGAAAGGCTTGATCCCTTACCTCAACTTGGGACAAATCTTTGAAGGGCAGCATACCTTCAGGGCAGCTGTGTGGTTGGCTGAGGCCTGGTTGGACTGCTCCATAGCCTGGCCTTTCCCTCCATACACCTCTGCTTCCTTCGTTTTCTCCAACACTGTAATCTTGTTGAAGCTCAGAAAACACACCCAAAAGTGATGCTTTGGGATGCTGGCTGAGGACAGCAGGGACAGGGGATGCAAGCCCTCTTCTCTGAGGTCCCCTTAACTTCTTAAAGATGGATCTAGGAAAACTCACAGCACAGGAAAAGCTAAAGTTGCTACCACCTGTTCTTCTGAAGGCTGTAACTTGGTGAATACAATCTGCCTTCGCCATGGATCTCCTCTCCTCATCCTCCCAAAACCTGCTGCCCCCTCTTCCCAGAATCCCCAAGCCCTCATTCTTTTTGTAGCTCAGGATATTATGTAAGCTTCAATCATCTGGCCCTTCTTTGAGTCTTATACTTACGAGGTTCCTGTGTGTAGTCACATAATAAATTTGTATTTCTCCTATCAGTCTGTGTATTGTCACTTTAGAACAGAGGCTCAGGCCGGCGCTGCGGCTCACTAGGCTAATCCTCCGCCTTGCGGCGCCGGCACCCTGGGTTCTAGTCCCGGTCGGGGCACCGGATTCTGTCCCGGTTGCCCCTCTTCCAGGCCAGCTCTCTGCTGTGGCCAGGGAGTGCAGTGGAGGATGGCCCAAGTGCTTGGGCCCTGCACCCCATAGGAGACCAGGATAAGTACCTGGCTCCTGCCATCGGATCAGCGCAGTGCACCGGCCGCAGTGTGCCGGCCGCGGCGGCCATTGGAGGGTGAACCAACGGCAAAGGAAGACCTTTCTCTCTGTCTCTCTCTCTCTCACTGTCCACTCTGCCTGTCAAAAAAAAAAAAAAAAAAAAAAAAAAAAAGAACAGAGGCTCAAATCATGGACACTTCAGAGAATGGAGGAATGTTTTCATTTCCATACAATCCCCAGAGCTCTTCCTCATGACCTTTCTGCTCAGTACTTGACTTTTCAGAGCCTGCTTCCTAGAAAACCTGACCCGTGTTTATTCATAGTCAAGGCCAAGGGAGCAGCAAGAATCCAGGCAGGGAGGGAGGAACAAGCTGGCTGAGGCTTCTGGTGGTGGCCTAAGGGCTTTGGTGGGAAGAAGAAAGCTGCAAAGGGCCCAGCGACTGCCTCTCACTGCCCACTCTGAAGCTTTGCTGCTGAAGACGCTGCTGGGCAGAACAAGTGGTGTCTGTCCTCAACTGGCCTCCCTCCCTCCGTGATCCTCAGCAAGGACGCAGAAATTCTTCAGCTGGGGAGAGGAAGGGAAACTCAAGAACCTGCTTCTCATTCCATCGATCCCAAACTTCCTACAGGGACAGAGGCCCAGGAAACCTCAGGGCGTGCTGTCAGTGGGCAGGCAGCCTCCTCTACCTCTTTGGTTTTCTTCTACCAATGCAACAATTTGAGTGTGTGCCCCTAGGTTCGTGGGCTGCAACGTCTAATGCTGTGTTTGTCAGTCATGAGGGAGGAGCACTGTGGTGGACTGCTGCTGTGCTCAGGGAGTGGGAGTGGCTTTCACAGGATCTTGGCCTCCCTATCCTCTCTTTGCCTGCCTGCCCTTCTTCCTTCTACCATGAGCTGAAGCAGCACAGAGCCCTCACCACGTCCAAGCTGATGCTGGCACATGCTCCTAGCCTTCCCCACTTGCAGATTTGTGACCCAGAGTGAACTGCTTTTCTTTATACTAACCCAACCTTGGGTATTATGTTATGGCTGCAGAAAGGGATCTGAGACACACTGCTTTTTGGCAAATAAGATCGTAAATAAATAAAATTAACAAATATACATTTTCTAAATGCAGGATGTTTTCATATACATATACACTGTGAAATGATTACTACAATCAAACTAATTAACATAGTTACTTTTTTGTATAATGAGAATATTTAAGAGGTACTCTCAGACATTTCAAGCCTATAAC